GATAACACACTCAAGGAATTCAAATAAGTAGAGAAATTTAGAAGCATGAAAAATAGGAGAGTGCTAGCAGCTAAGACCCCACATAGTTATTGTGGGAGACCTTACTCTTAGTCTACCCAGTTGTTTCATATCCTTTCTTGGTATAAGAACCCTATTTACGTTGTTTCAGAGAGCTGAAGTGCCAAGCCCTATGGAATAAATAGTGAGTTTAAGCCAATCAGAGTGTTACCATTCTCTTTTGCTAGTGACTGATCTAGGATGGCAATTGTGCCCAATTTTAACCAATAAGATAGGAAGGGAAGTCTGCAGAGGAAGGCCTCTAGGAAGCATTTTTCACCCATATAAAAGAGGAGAGAGCTACAAGGGGAAAATCTTACCCTTTCCTTTTTGTTTTTGGAGATTGTGTATAAAGGGGACTGTTTCAGCCATAAGGGAGACACGCTGAGGGTGGCAAGGGGCTGAGGCTTTGAGGACATCACTGAGCTGCTGAGCCATCTCTGGAACTGTTTGCCCCTGGACTAACTTACCATATTCAGATAACAAATATCTTTTTTTTTTTTTTTGGCAACAGAGTCTTGATCTGTTGACCCAGGCTAGAGTGCAGTGGTGTATCTTGACTCACTGCAACCTCCACCTGCCAGGGTCAAGCAATTCTCCTACCTCAGCCTCCTGAGTAGCTGGGATTACAAGTGCGCGCCACCACGCCCAACTAATTTTTGTATTTTTAGTAGAGAAGGGGTTTCACCATGTCGGCCAGGCTGTCTCAAACTCCTGATGTCAAGTGATCCGCCCGCCTTGGTCTCCCAAAGTGCTGGGATTACAGGTGTGGGCTACCGAGCCAGGCGGTACTAAATAACCTTATTGAATGAGGCACTTTTAGTTGAATTTCTGTTTCCTACCACCAAAAGTATCTTAACTGATTATAGTTATTTAAGAGTAGGGTCGGACAGGCGCAGTGGCTCAAGCCCGTAATCCCAGCACTTTGAGAGGCCGAGGCGGGAGGATCACAAGATCAAGAGATCGAGACCATCCTGGCCAACATGGTGAAACCCCATCTCTACTAAAAATAATAAAAAATTAGCTGGGCGTGGTGGCATGCGCCTGTAGTCCCAGCTACTTGGGAGGCTGAGGCGGAAGAATTGCTTGAACCCAGGAGGCGAAGGTTGCAGTGAGCCGAGATTGTGTCACTGCACTCCAGCCTGGCACCTGGCATCAGAGTGAGACTCTGTCTCAAAAAAAAAAAAAAGAAAGAAAGAGTAGGGTCTTGTAGGACTTTTTAGATAATATTAAGGATTTGGAATTTAATCCTAAGGATTAGGAGAGCTATTAAAGGATTTTGTGCATGGGGTGACACAAGGTGTTTGCTTTTCAAAAGATCACTTTAGTTGCCATGTGGATAATAAACTGGAGAGTGGCAATAATGGATGCAGGTAGAGCAGTTAGGAACTATTGCCATAAGTTACTCAAGACAATGCAGTGATTTAAAATAAGCAGTGGCTATGGAAATAGAAAAAAATGAGTGCAGTGGCTCATGCCTGTAATCCCAGCATTTTGGGAGGCTAAGGTGGACAGATCGCAAGCTGAGGAGTTCGAGACCAACCTGGCCAACATGGTGTAACCCGTCTCTACTAAAAATACAAAAAAATTAGCCAGGTGTGGTGGTGTATGCGTGTAATCCCAGGTACTCAGGAGGCTGAGGCAGGATAATTGTTTGAACCCAGGAGGCAGAAGTTGCAGTGAGCTAAAATAGCAATACTGCACTCCAGCCTGGACAACAAAGAGAGAATCTGTCTCAAAAACAAAATCAAAACTACTGAGATTCACATTGGAGGCAGAATTGTGATTGTGATTGATTCTAGACACCTGAAGGTGTCTAGACTGAGATATAAAGTGGATCATAGTGCCATTTGCTAACACAACCCCTGGAGGAGGAGAGGTTGTGGCTACTGTAATGAATTCATTATTAGACACATTGGGCTGAGGGTGTCTATGTCAAATGTCAATCATGTAAGCTATTGGGCTGTTGAGCATTTGAATGGCCTGGGGTGGAGATAAAGATGTGAAAGTCTTTGGAACGAAAGTAGTAACAGAACCTATGTGATTTTTGAGAGAGAGAGAGAGAATGAGAAAGGAAAAGTCCTAAGACAGAATCCTAGGCTCTCCAGCCCTGAGCCAGTGGAGAAGGAGACTCCAGCAAAGGAGGCAGAGAAACAACAGCCAGAAAGAAAGAAGGGAAGTCAAAGTGTTTCCAGGAGGGAATGGTCAGCACTGACAAACACAGTCAAGGGGTCAAGCAAAAAAATAGCTGAAAATAATCTGTTGGAATTAGTCACATGAACGTCACCAGTGACACCAATAATAAGGCAGTTTTTGGACAGATGGAGGTGGAGATGTTGGTTCAGAACCCAGATGAGACTGAATAAGAAGTGAATAATTAAGAAATGATGACAAAATGTGCAGAATCAAATCAAGAGACTTGGCCTTGAAGGGGTTATGGGGCAGGAGTTGAGGCATGTGGGATGAAAAGAGGGTTTTTGTTTCCTTTTGAAAATAGGAATAACTATCATTTCACCTTATCTCCCCACCCCACTCCTCAGCCCCCACAACTCGATGCTCCAGCCCCACGGATCCTTCTTTCCTTTGGTCCTGCCTCATTTGCTGTTCCCAGTGCTTACCATGCTTTCCCCTAAATTTATGAATGGCTCATTTCTTCTCATTATTCATGGCTTTGCTCAAATGTCACTTCATCCAAAACGTCTTCTCTGAGCTTATCCTTCTCCTCATTGTCAGTCACTGTTTTATCTTTTTTGTGGTTCTGATTATCTGAAATGATTTTGTTCATTTATTAATAAATTACTTTATTGATTACTTACAGCTTCCTTTTGTTTGTTTTTGGGGTTTTGTTGTTGTCATTTGAGACAGTCTCTGTCACCCACACTGGAGTGCAGTGGCATGATCTCAACTCACTACAGCCTCCACCTCCTGGGTTCAAGCAATTCTCATGCCTCAGCCTACCAAGTAGCTCACACCCAGCTAACTTTTGTATTTTTAATAGAGACAGGGCTTTTAACATGTTGGTCAGGCTGGTCTAGAACTCTTGACCTCATATGATCTGCCCTCCTTGGCCTCCCAAAGTGCTGGGATTACAGGCGTGAGCAACCGCCCCAGCTTGGTTTGTTTTTTGAGACAGGGTCTCCCTCTGTTGCACAGGATGGAGTGCAGTAGCATGATATTGGCTCCTGTGATCAAATGATCTCTCACCTCAGCCTCCCAAAGTGCTGCGATTACAGGCGTAAGCCACAGTACCCGGCCTATATCTCTTAATCAAAAGTAAAGTGTGAGTGTGGCAATTCCTCAAGGATCTAGAACCAACAATTTCATTACTGGGTATATACCGAAAGGATTATAAATCATTATACTATAAAGACACATGCACATGTACGTTTATTGCAGCACTGTTCACCATAGCAAAGACTTGGAACCAACCCAAATATCCATCAATGATAGACTGTATAAAGAAAATGTGGGCCGGGCGCGGTGGCTCAAGCCTGTAATCCCAGCACTTTGGGAGGCCGAGGCGGGTGGATCACGAGGTCAAGAGATCGAGACCATCCTGGTCAACATGGTGAAACCCCGTCTCTACTAAAGATGCAAAAAATTAGCTGGGCATGGTGGCACGTGCCTGTAATCCCACCTACTCTGGAGGCTGAGGCAGGAGAATTGCCTGAACCCAGGGGGCGGAGGTTGCGGTGAGCCGAGATCGCGCCATTGCACTCCAGCCTGGGTAACAAGAGCGAAACTCCATCTCAAAAAAAAAGAAAAGAAAAGAAAAGAAAAGAAAATGTTGCCCACATACACCGTGAAATATTATGCAGCCACAAAAAAGGATGAGTTCATGTCCTTTGCAGGGACATGGATGAAGCTGGAAACCTTCATTCTTGGCAAACTAACGCAGGAACAGAAAAGCAAACTCTACATGTTCTCACTCATAAGTGGGAGTTGAACAGTGAGAACACATGGACACAGGGAGGGGAACATCACACATCAGGACCTGTTGGGGGGTGAGGGGCTAGGGGAGGGATAGCATTAGGAGAAATATCTAATGTAGATGATGGATTGATGTGTGCAGCAAACCATCATGCCATGTATATGCCTATGTAACAAGCCTGCACATTCTGCACATGTATCCTAGAACTTAAAGTATAATAATAATAATAATAATAAAAGTAAAGTCTGGGGTAAACTGGGTGAAATTTATGGGCTAAGTACATACATGTATTATATGTTATATCTCGTGTGTTATGTATTATTATATATGTGTATTATATACTATGTACTATTTTTGCAACTATGTGAATCTATAATTATCTCAAAATAAAGTTTTTTGTTTTTTTTTTTAAAGTAAGTTCTGTGAGAACTGGGATTTTATTTGCTTGTTGACAATTGTGTCTTTATCATCAGAACCGGGTCTGGCGTGCAGTGGGCACTAAATAAGTCTTCGTAAAACGTGTGAATTAATGCCCTGCTACTTTTTATATTATTAGTAGAGACGGAGTTCCACCACATTGGCCAGGTTGGTCTCGAACTCTGACCACAAGCGATCCAACCGCCTCGGATTTCCAAAGTGCTGGGATTACAGGCCAGGGTCACTAAGCGCGGCTGATCAAATTTAAAGGGCGGGATGGGGAGAGTACAAACAACAGAGGAAATCCTTAGCCTCAGAGGAAACTGGAGATGGCAGCGTTTAGCACTAGACTGTACGAGAGGCAGGATTGGAATCCAAATCTCCAGAACACTTTCCACTACCCGTGCTATCTCTCCATTGATGGCCTATTGACTGGATGACAGAGTATTGATAGTACCGTCTTAGGAGACGCCCAGTCACAGATCATAGGCTATCATTGCCGCTTATTGTGATTTCAACCATGGAGGATGGTCCTATCCATCACCTTTCAATCGGCTGTTCTCTGATCAGCATTAAACGGCCACGCCCGCCCTTAACTTCTGACTGTGGGGAAAGAGGCTGTGTGGGTGACGGCTTGGAAGGTTTACTACCGCCTCAATCCTCTTCTCTGCAGTTGAGGTTTCAGGTTTCAATCCTCCCAATACCACAAGACAGTGCAGCGAGCACCGGGCGGCCGCCGCCTCCGCCTCCGCGCCTCAACCCCGGCAGCCTGCAGATTTCAGCCCCGCCGCCGCGCACTCGCTCTGCCCTAGACCGGGGTTGGGCGCAGCGGCGGAGGCTGCTTCTGGGCTGCGCGAGCTGGGCGCGCTGGGAGGCGGCGAGCGCAGCTGGGCCGGGACTTCCTTCCTCCAGCGCACGGCAACAAAACAACCCTGCAGCAGGCACTGAGCGCTTGGCAGCTGTCCGTGCGAGCGAGAGGCACAGCGATGGGCTCCGTGCTGAGCAGCGACAGCGGCAAGTCGGCGCCCGCCTCTGCCACCCCGCGGGCCCTGGAGCGCAGGGGCGACCCGGAGTTGCCCGTCACGTCCTTCGACTGCTCCGTATGCCTTGAGGTGTTACACCGGCCTGTCCGGACCCGCTGTGGCCACGTGTAAGTGCCAGGGGAGGCCGGTTCGCGCCCATCCCTGCGGAGGTCGATGTGGGGAAACTGGGGGACGGAAGGAGGAAGGAGGGGGACGGAGGTAGGGGGAAGGAGGGGGACGGAAGACAGCGCCTTAGGAACTGCTGCAGGGAGAAACCTGGAACCGTCGGGTGCGGGGCCACGAGGAAAACGCCAGTCGGCAGGTGACACGGGACTTCGGGAGGAGAAGATAGAAACGAGCGGGCCCTGTAGCCCCCTTGCGCTGTCTCCTCCCGAAGCCCAGGTGCGGAGCTCCAGAGATCCAGGCACCGGTCCCGCCCAGCGCCGGGGCTGGCCAACTGGGGAGGGTGCTCTTGGCTGGAGAACCAGCGACCGCCCGGGCACGGAAAGAAAACCAGCGCCTGGTACAAGGCAGGGGCTCCCGCTAAGCGCAGTTATCCCCCTGAACTCGGTGGAACGGGCTGCGCTTCCCTCTGCCCCAGAAACCTGGGTCCGTTTTGTTTTGCTGGAGCTGTGCACGTGTTCCCAGAATGCCCGCAGAGGCTCGTCTTAAGCAAACAAGGATCTGTGCCAAGTGTCCTTCTACCCCCACCCCTGCTACCCTTTCCCAAAACAGACACCCAGCCTCTCAAAGAGCAAGTCAAACTGGAGCTTCCGAGTGACTTTCCACCGTCGTTAGAGTTTAACAACCTGCTAGGGTGGGGCTTGGACGTCAGCCGCAAGCCCCTGAATGCACTCCTTCACCACCCAGCCACGACGTGACGGGAGGTGGCAGACTACCTGCTTTACTCCCCGTCTCTCCAAACCCGCAGAAATTACAGAGTAAAATAACTTTCTCAAAACCGAGTCGTATTTAGCTAAAACTCACAGTTGGTGCAAAGCCCTAGTTGTTTCTAAGAAGTGTTTAAAAACAAAGTCCGGATATAATTTTGGCACATTCTTAATGTGTGTTTGAGTAACTGGTGGAGTTGGATCTGTGAATTTGTGTTCTCTGTTTACTTTTGTTGTTGTTGTTTTGAGACATAGTCTGGCTCTGTTGCACAGGCTGGAGTGCAGTGGCGCGATCTCGACTCACTGCAATCTCCACCTCCCGGGCTCAGGTGATTCTCCTGCCTCAGCCTCCCTAATAGCTGATATTACAGGCGTGTGCCACCACAACCAGTTTTTGTATTTGGAGTAGAGATGTGGTTTCACCATGCTGGCCAGGCTGGTCTCCTGACCTCAAATGATCCACCCGCCTCGGCCTCCCAAAGTGCTGGGATTAAAGGAGTGAGCCACTGCGCCCAGCCTTCTCTGTTTGCTTTGAATTTTGTTCACGGACACATGGGTGTGTGTGTGTGCGTGCGCGCGCGTGCATGTATGCAGATCAGGAGCAGAAGCCTACTTAATGTCCTTTGAAGATTGACTATAATAGTATGAAGCCCTGTGCCATACCACATTGGCTTGTACAGCTTTTGGCTTAGGAGGAAGAAAGAAATAGCATATTACTAATGCAAGTGCACGACATATTTTTGAGGACTACTTTTGAAAGAATTTAGGTAGTCCTTAAAAACATGTTGTGCATTTGCATTCAAAAGTTTTGAGGCCTGCAGTGGTGGCTCACACCTGTAATCCTAGCACTTCAGGAGGCCGAGGCAGATGGATCACCTGAGGTCAGGAATTCGAGACCAGCCCGGCCAACATGGTGAAACCTCATCTTTACTAAAAATACAAAAATTAGCCAGGCATGGTGACCCAGGCCTGTAATCCCAGCTATTCAGGAGGCTGAGGCAGGAGAATTGCTTGAACCTGGGAAGAAGAAGTTGCAGTGAGCTGAGATGGCACCATTGCGCTCCAGCCTGGTGACAGAGCGAGACTTTGCCTCAAAAAACAAAGTTTTGAAAGTACTTAGGTGGTCCTTATTACCTATATCCTTGCATCAGAAAAGCAGTATTCACCACTGCCTACATGTGAGCCAGTAAGAAAAGTGTGCAGCCTGTGCAATGTATAAAGAGTGCTCTGGGCATTATTTTGTGGCTGTATTCTCAAGGCCTGTTGTTTGAGCTTTGTTCTTAAAATTTGAGGCTTAAATTTACCCTCCTTTCTGGTTATTGATGTTATTGCTCAGCTGTCCAGATGTAGTAACATGACATCCACAGACCAATCTGGAAGCCAAAATGTGCCATGTAAGTCGAAGTATATTGATTAGTTTAGGGCAGTAACAAGCTAAAGATACCTCCATTTAAATTTAATCATTATTAGCATTAAAACTTCAAAGTTGTGCAAAACACGAACAGTGGGCGTTTTGAAGATTCTTTTTGGAATAGGAGGCTTTGCTATTCAATGATCTGACTGGAGACTGTTTTCCCAGTTTGAACTTTGAACATTATAATTTACCATTCACAATGTTTTTCCTTCTACTAAAGGATAATATAAATTTGCAAAACGTTGAATTTTTTGTTTAATCTTTTTCTTTGTTAAAGTGAATAGAAAACTAGCAACTGGAAAAACAGTTGTAAAATAGCATAACAAGGGTTGAACAAATTGCCTTTCCTCACTTTACTGTTCTTTGTTTCGACTAATCTATGTTCATTGTTCTGGCTGTGGGCAGAATTTCCATATTCCTCCTTTTGGCAAACTTATTTGGGCCCCTTTCACTTTATAACTGTTAAGCAGAGTCCTTTCTGCAGCAGAGATTGTGAGCGTTGTTAATACCATTTGTACATTCTAAACGAATTACTCTTTTCCGCTGAAATTAAGTTGGAAATGTAAATGAACCTTCTCTATTTTATGATCCCATATTGAAGCTACATTTTCAAATATGGTGAACTAGGTTGTTTATGCTGATTTTTGTTTGTAAACCTACTTCAAGTCAAACAAATTTAATAATAACAACAGTACCTTGAATAAATATGCACAGATCACTTTATAAGCTGCATTGCGATGTGGTGGAAGCTGGTCTTTACAGAGAGCTAGATTTGAAATCGGCTCTGCCACTAGCCAGCTGTGTGACCACTGTAAGGAAATTTGAATTTGATTTTTTTCCCCTAAAGGTTTGATCACTTGAGTCTATGAAACAAACTTCTAATAGATTAACAAGTGGTAAAGGGCTACAAATGTATTAATGAGCATACGGGCACGGGAGTCATGCCAAATGTGAAAACTGAAAGAAAGGACCAGATGCTTGATGCTTTTATACCATCTTGAGGTTACCACAGAATAAGGGCTTGGAACATGGTTGCGGGAGGGAGAGAGAAAGAAGGGGCTGGGGCAATGGTGGTCTAGTTATGCCGATGAAACTTGATAGATAAACATCTCCTAGAAAGAATAGACATGACTGTGTTAAGTTGCTCTGTCAGACCTTCACAGGTGTCAGACTTTCAGTTAATAATTTCCTAGGTCCAGATAAGGGGGTGCCTCCAAAAAAGCCCGGTGATTTTTTTTGTTTATTTATTTATTTATTTATTTATTTTGAGACGGAGTTTCTCTCTTGTTACCCAGGCTGGAGTGCAATGGCGCGATATTGGCTCACCGCAACCTCCGCCTCCTGGGTTCAGTCAATTCTCCTGCCTCAGCCTCCTGAGTAGCTGGGATTACAGGCACGCGCCACCATGCCCAGCTAATTTTTTGTATTTTTAGTAGAGACGGGGTTTCACCATGTTGACCAGGTTGGTCTCGATCTATCGACCTTGTGATCCACTCACCTCTGCCTCCCAAAGTGCTGGGATTACAGGCTTGAGCCACCGCGCCCGGCCCTGTTTATTTTTTGAGATGGAGTTTCACTCTGTTACGGGGCTGGAATGCAGTGGCGTGATCTTGTCTCACTGCAGCCTCCACCTCCCTGGCTCAAGTGATTCGCCTGCTGTAGCCTCCTGAGTAGCTGGGACTACAGGCATGCACCACCACGTCCAGCTAATTTTTTTTTTTTTTTTTTTTTTTTTTTTTTTTTTTGAGACGGAGTTTCGCTCTTGTTACCCAGGCTGGAGTGCAATGGCGCCATCTCGGCTCACCGCAACCTCTGCCTCCTGGGTTCAAGCAATTCTCCTGCCTCAGCCTCCCTAGTAGCTGGGACTACAGGCGTGCGCCACCATGCCCAGCTAATTTTTGTATTTGTAGTAGAGACGGGGTTTCACCATGTTGGTCAGAATGGTCTCGATCTCTTGACCTCATGATTCACCCACCTTGGCCTCCCAAAGTGCTGAGATTACCGGTGTGTGCCACCGAGCCTGGCCTATTTACTTTTTTTTTTTGAGATAGAGTCTCACTCTGTCGCCCAGGTGGGAGGGCAATGGCCTATCTTGGCTCACCGCAACCTCTGCCTCCTTGGTTCAAGCGATTCTCCTGCCTCAGCCTCCTGAGTAGCTGAGATTACAGGTTCCTGTCAAAATGCCCAGCTAATTTTTGTATTTTCAGCAGAGATGGGGTTTCACCATGTTGGCCAGTCTGACCTCGAACTCCTGACTTCAGGTTATCCACCCCGCCTTGGTCAATAAAGTTATAGGAAGTCTGAGGAAGAAACAAAGCTCTAAATAAATGGTGTTGAGAAAACTGGCTAGTCATATGCAGAAAGCTGAAACTGGATCCCTTCCTTACACCTTATATAAAAATGAACTCCAGATGGATTAAAGATTTAATTGTAAGACCTAACACCATAAAAACCCTAGAAGAAAACCTAGGCAATACCATTCAGGACATAGGATAGGCAAGGACTTCATGACTAAAACATCAAAAGCAATGGCAACGAAAGCCAAAATAGACAAATGGGATCTAATTAAACTTAAAATCTTCTGCACAGCAAAAGAAACTATCAATAGAGTGAACCAGTAACCAAAGGAATGGGAAAAAAATTTTGCAATCTATCCCTCTGACAAAGGGCTAATACCCAGAATCTACAAAGAACTTAAACAAATTTACAAGAGAAGAAACAAACCCCATCAAAAAGTGGCCAAAGGATATGAACAGACACTTTTCAAAAGAAGACATTTATGCAAGCTGGGCATGGTGGCTGACGCCTGTAATCCCACCACTTT